ATCAAGAACTTTATCATTATTCACCTTACAACAAAAAGTGATGCAATCTCCTAGACATCTTGGAAATCCTGTTAACAAAGCATTCCAATATACACTCATGCTTTACACATGGAGGATTACTTATATCTGTGAATCACTTAAAAGGAGTAAAATTAAAAGAATGATTCCATTCTTATCTCTGACCATAGTAACTTCCATAAGCCCCCCAACCCTGCTGTCCATAACCATAACCACCCTGTTGAGCTGGATAGCCCCATCCTTGGTAATGTGATGCTCCATAGCCCTGTGCATAGCCCTGGTTGTAGCCACCATATCCTGCCTGCTGATAGCCTTGGTAATTTGTGTTGACAGCCTGCTGTTGCTGTGCTGTTCCTGTTGTGCCATTGACAGGGCTGGGGCTGGTCTTCTCCTGGCTCCCTCTCTTCTCTCGCCGCGACTCAATGCTACAAATCACACAACAAGGTCAGTAAACAATCTTTTGAAAGTGAACTGCAGAACTAGTTTGGTATACATAAAAGAGAAAAAGTGCTTGTTTCATTTATGAAAATATTATCATTTCATCATTATTTGCTGTATCTAATCTCCTTCTTATCATACTTCAAAGGCTAATCAATGATTTCACAGATGAGTAAACACATTTGATCCTTCTGAATGTGGCTATCTAGGAGGTATATCATCTCCATAGATGACAATTTAGTGTTAAAAATATAGGAATGCAAGCTTAGAAATGGACTTGTTACAATAAGATTCAGCATTGTATACTTACACAGATATACCCCCACTGGCTGCATCTCCTTGCTTGCTGGTATTACTTGCAGTATCTGTTTCTGACGCACATGCATCCATTTGTCTCACCTCCATCTGAACTTCCCTCAGAACACGCAGGCCAGTGGTCACACTGAAATTTTTTTTTAATCTCATCAGAATAACTAAGTACTAAATTACAACTGCAACTATTTTCACTTGGCAGCCTAGTTATCAAACTCACTCTGAATAAAATGCTTCACAATATAAAAGCATTCTGGATATGACTTCTACAATTTCATAAAACAAAATACATTTTCTTTAATATGAATTACAGTAATAAGCTTATCATCATCATGCAATGTAAAACTGAACCCATGTATCACAATAATTAAAACTAATGGCATAACCTTCAAAATATCTCATTTGTCTTTAGAGTTCACAGATCCCCCGAACCAAAATACACGTGATACAACATTACATTCCAAGACTAAGGTGAGACTGTTCTTTACCTGTCTGTCTCCTGTCCACATTCAGACATGAAGTGGAAGTATCTGTGAGCAAACATGAGTCTGGTTCCAGGCTGCTGGCAAGAATCAAGCCCCTCTTTCAGGATATCTGCCGCCATGGAAAACTTTGGAGGCTGACACAGTAGGGCCTGATCCACCAATGCTAGCAACACATTGCTGTTATTCTGCACCAGAAGAAAAAAACATAGAAATTAATATAAATATCTTGTTTCTTATTTCCTACTGAAAACAAAACAATACATGAAATGTTTTCAATCAAACAGGACAACCTTAAAGCTTACCTTGTTATATTCATGGGCCTCTCTGAGGATCTCAACTCCTTTGTCTGTGTCACCACAGAACTGAAAGAGAGAAAAAATAATAATCAGTCACCAAAAATTAATAAACACCAACTGGATTATCCACATAAACAGGAGAGAGAGAGAACAGAAAAGAGGATAATGATCTGTATCTTTGGTAATGAAAGTTTACCAATCACATATGCTGAGTTGTTTCTTGATCTCTTTGGCATCAAACTATTCATGCTTCAATTAGTAACAGAAAAGAAACCTCAATATTTATTCTGTTGGAAAGCCTCCAAAACATAAGGTTTCCCTGGTATTTTTTTTAAGAACCACAGTCATAATATCAATTATTTTTTTTGGTTTTAAGTTTTTCTCAAAAAAAAAGAAAAGAAAAAGAAAGAAAGAAGGAAAGAAAGAAAGAAAAAAACTAACTCTTTGCCTTTGAGGGTGATGTGCATGTAAACTTATCATAAATCGGTTGGATATTTAAACTGACTGGTAAACAGAGGAAAGCAACATCCAGTCTGAAGTGAACCATACGCAAGTGATCAAACACGGTCAGCCACTCAAGTGAAAGAAAAGGAGTGTGGAGACCACAAATTCATGATGACATGTGCACATTTGGCTCTGGCATACAAAACTTTTCTGCATTATGAGACAAAAACTGTTTTAAACCCACACCTGAGAGGCTATAGCTAAGGAACTGCCACATCCAAAGCCAAACAAAGCATGGCTGACTGCACAAGATGAGCTTCCTTCCCAACATGCATTCAGCTTCTCTTTATTATGGCAAGAACAGATGCACACTGTCAATAATGGGGTTAAAATAAAAGATAAAAACACTAACCAGAGTGTGGAACCTCGCATACTTGAGCGATACATGCGAGTGTGCATTTTTATCTTCCCTTTCTTGGCAGATTGCAAGACAGCGATCAAATATTTCCTTTGTAGCTTCCATGTTGCCCCTGCGACGCTCAACCCCAGCAGCTTGCATCCAAGATTCTAAGCTTCCAGGGACTCTTGTCTGTATATCTTCCAGGATCTCCAGGGCTCGGTCTCCATCACCTGAGGAGATACAATGCTTTACGGAACTGCTGCCAAAAGTATTCGCAACAAACACAAAACAGAGTAAAAATATTGGATTCTAGGATCCCAGTTAATCACAAGTACATTTGTATTTATCTAATGCAAGTTAGTAAAAGGGCAACCTCTCGTTCCACAACCTAGATCTTAATCCTTTTTTCTTGGGAATATTTTTTGAATTTTGTTTGTAAAGAAAGCACGAAACATTCACAATTGATCCTTCCAAATCTCTTCAATTTCCAGATATAAATATATCCTTCATACATCTACAGCAGGTTTTCCCAACCTGGGAGCCATGGGATACTTTCCGGGGGGCCATCAAGTAATATGAAAATTATATCATCAAATTAAACTAGAATTCTATCTCGCCTACAATACCTACATATAATTATTTCTCACATATCAATAAATTGGAAGCTCTCCCTAAAGTGTTCTTGTTCTATAGTTACTGACACCATAACACTATTCAGAACGAAGTAATAACTGAAGCTATAGAGATGATAGTCACTATCCTATATGAACAGTTGGGAACCACAAATCTAGTAACATGAAATTCAAATATAGGTTTACTGAAAATAGCTCACTATGGATAATGTTTTTCTTTTTTCTACCACCTTATCTGTAATTCAGTACTTATATTTTATCAAACACATATGTAATAAAGAACTTCCTTATTCTAGGGTAGTTTTGAGATTCTGTGCATTATTATAAAATGGCAAAAGTTCCTAGTCAAGTTACAATACCTAGTTTCTAAAAGAGTTTAGTGACGTGTCAACACATCTTTATCTACATTTCCAACAAGAAATTCCTTCTAGAGTTGAATTCTTTTATGTCACATAGTTTTCAAGTGGTAATTCTATCTCCACAAAAGTCTGACACTCCATACCTTTCTCTTCTTCAAATGCTGCCCAGGAGAGGTGTGGTCTGAACTTGTCCCGGAGGTGGATGAGACAGGCCCTTTGGTAGATTGCACGGACTTCACTCTCCTGCGCTCCCGATTCCTCCAGGTACCTTATGTACTGCAAAATTACATCTCAAATTAACAGAAAATCTTCATATAATACTTGCAAAATTAATCACATAAAATTCATATGAATTTAGATGTATATACTGCTAAATAAGCATATGTTCACACTTTCACCTTCCTTTGATACAATAAAAGCCCTTTCCTAAAAAAATTGACTTCTGCATAAAGAGGTAGAAATAATAATGAGGATTAAATAATTGCAATAATAACCTCTACAATCCGGATGATGTGTCAATAATGTCGGGTGGGGGGCGGGTGACGTGAACGTGCCATCACAGGAAAAATTGGAAAGAATGAAAGAATTCACCACCATATTTCAAAATACTCAACATAAACACCTACCCTCATCCAGAACTCCTCGTACAAGGCACAGGCAATGAGACATCTCTCAAACAGCACTCGGACTCTTGACGCCTTTCCTTGCTTAATTTCATAATCCAGGTAATTCCTCCAGGCTGTCAGCTGGCTCTTCTCCAGGGGCTTCACATGGAAATATGGCCTCTTGATGGCATCCTCATAGCTCCACAATGCCTTTGCTTCCACAACATTGGCCTCGTGAATCTTCTGACGTGCAGATATAATGCTCTTCTGCAGGGCTTTGGTCTCTTCATCCTGTAATCGTTTTTATAACTTTGAAGTCATCCAACACGGGCCCTATGATGCTAAAGACAGTAAATCTGCTATTTCCCAAGATATATCTATACTTATGACTGATAGTGAATGAACTTTATCTACATCAATCTGGAAGTTAGAACAAGATTTTTCAAAAGCTAAATCAAATATAAGACCAATATAAGAAGCACAAAAACACCCTCTAAAAGGAACAATCTTACCACGTTTGTCCCCACTTGCTCGTCCCCAGGGGCTGCCTCCACACCCGGGGGGGCTTCGTCTGGAGTCTCAATATCCGAGCGGTTCAACTCGGTCAGGACAGACCGCCGTAAACTGAGGAATTCATCCACGCCAACCACTTCACTTGGCAGGTGCTTTTTCACATGCTCCTGGAACCTAATGAAGAGATACATGAGCCACATCAAATGCAGTGCTAACTCATAAAAATGATTAAATAAAAACATTCTCTGCAGCCATCATTTCATATTTCTTCTCATCTAGTCTAAAAACAGTATTTATATATGTATTCAAAATATGGGGAGACATACTTCAGGAAAAAAACATAACGAAAGATTCAAAAAGATTAGTTTAATCTTGTGTGTATTCTATACATGTACAGATTTTTTTTTCTTTTCTTTTCTCTCATATGATGTAATAATCTTTAATAGAATTTACAAATTCCTTTATTGTTTTGTTACTTGAGAGAAAGAATGAAAGAATTCACCACCATATTTCAAAATACTCAACATAAACACCTACCCTCATCCAGAACTCCTCGTACAAGGCACAGGCAATGAGACATCTCTCAAACAGCACTCGGACTCTTGACGCCTTTCCTTGCTTAATTTCATAATCCAGGTAATTCCTCCAGGCTGTCAGCTGGCTCTTCTCCAGGGGCTTCACATGGAAATATGGCCTCTTGATGGCATCCTCATAGCTCCACAATGCCTTTGCTTCCACAACATTGGCCTCGTGAATCTTCTGACGTGCAGATATAATGCTCTTCTGCAGGGCTTTGGTCTCTTCGTCCTGTAATCGTTTTTATAACTTTGAAGTCATCCAACACGGGCCCTATGATGCTAAAGACAGTAAATCTGCTATTTCCCAAGATATATCTATACTTATGACTGATAGTGAATGAACTTTATCTACATCAATCTGGAAGTTAGAACAAGATTTTTCAAAAGCTAAATCAAATATAAGAACCAATATAAGAAGCACAAAAACACCCTCTAAAAGGAACAATCTTACCACGTTTGTCCCCACTTGCTCGTCCCCAGGGGCTGCCTCCACACCCGGGGGGGCTTCGTCCGGAGTCTCAATATCCGAGCGGTTCAACTCGGTCAGGACAGACCGCCGTAAACTGAGGAATTCATCCACGCCAACCACTTCACTTGGCAGGTGCTTTTTCACATGCTCCTGGAACCTAATGAAGAGATACATGAGCCACATCAAATGCAGTGCTAACTCATAAAAATGATTAAATAAAAACATTCTCTGCAGCCATCATTTCATATTTCTTCTCATCTAGTCTAAAAACAGTATTTATATATGTATTCAAAATATGGGGAGACATACTTCAGGAAAAAAACATAACGAAAGATTCAAAAAGATTAGTTTAATCTTGTGTGTATTCTATACATGTACAGATTTTTTTTTCTTTTCTTTTCTCTCATATGATGTAATAATCTTTAATAGAATTTACAAATTCCTTTATTGTTTTGTTACTTGAGAGAAAGAATGAAAGAATTCACCACCATATTTCAAAATACTCAACATAAACACCTACCCTCATCCAGAACTCCTCGTACAAGGCACAGGCAATGAGACATCTCTCAAACAGCACTCGGACTCTTGACGCCTTTCCTTGCTTAATTTCATAATCCAGGTAATTCCTCCAGGCTGTCAGCTGGCTCTTCTCCAGGGGCTTCACATGGAAATATGGCCTCTTGATGGCATCCTCATAGCTCCACAATGCCTTTGCTTCCACAACATTGGCCTCGTGAATCTTCTGACGTGCAGATATAATGCTCTTCTGCAGGGCTTTGGTCTCTTCATCCTGTAATCGTTTTTATAACTTTGAAGTCATCCAACACGGGCCCTATGATGCTAAAGACAGTAAATCTGCTATTTCCCAAGATATATCTATACTTATGACTGATAGTGAATGAACTTTATCTACATCAATCTGGAAGTTAGAACAAGATTTTTCAAAAGCTAAATCAAATATAAGGACCAATATAAGAAGCACAAAAACACCCTCTAAAAGGAACAATCTTACCACGTTTGTCCCCACTTGCTCGTCCCCAGGGGCTGCCTCCACACCCGGGGGGGCTTCGTCTGGAGTCTCAATATCCGAGCGGTTCAACTCGGTCAGGACAGACCGCCGTAAACTGAGGAATTCATCCACGCCAACCACTTCACTTGGCAGGTGCTTTTTCACATGCTCCTGGAACCTAATGAAGAGATACATGAGCCACATCAAATGCAGTGCTAACTCATAAAAATGATTAAATAAAAACATTCTCTGCAGCCATCATTTCATATTTCTTCTCATCTAGTCTAAAAACAGTATTTATATATGTATTCAAAATATGGGGAGACATACTTCAGGAAAAAAACATAACGAAAGATTCAAAAAGATTAGTTTAATCTTGTGTGTATTCTATACATGTACAGATTTTTTTTTTCTTTTCTTTTCTCTCATATGATGTAATAATCTTTAATAGAATTTACAAATTCCTTTATTGTTTTGTTACTTGAGAGAAAGAATGAAAGAAAAGAAAGATATAAAAGCTATTTTTCCCACAAATTAGAATGCCAAGGTTCAATCATTCTCATTTCAACTCCTTATTATTGTTAAAAAAATTCCCATGAAAAGCACAAATGAAACCTGCTTATTGTTATGATATCACAAAATAAAAGTGATACTTCGATGACTGAAATTAACTTAACCCTGACTTTCTAGTTATATATACCTATCCAGCTCACCCCAAAAATGAAGTAAACATGTATTATTATATCAAAATGAACAAACTCAAGATGTGAAAACTTCAATGTGCCATAGATCATACTTAAAACATTTTAAAAGTCATATTCATAACTTACAAAATCCTCTCTTCAAAACAAGGCTCATGACATTTAAGCCTTGGCCACACTAAAACCTATGCACAGAGCAAGGACACGCTTACTCCCAAAGTCCTTCTGACAAAATCTTGTGGGACTAGACGTACTCGCGAAGAAACAACGGCTCAAGAGGAGAACAACACTTACTTTTGCCAGTGCTGCATGTATTTGCTTGTTGGAGTGGCTAGGAGTCTTTCATAGAGCTGGGTAACATTCTTCCACCGCTTACCACCGCTCTCCCAATTTATGTATGCCTCCCACAGCTTGTCTGACCTAAGGGAAAAGATTACCATTATAACCCTGACCAATTTAGAAAAATAACACAAGTACAACTAAACAAAATACAAAATATAATTAATTACTTTATGTCTATATCATTAAATTTCCATTAGATCATTTGATGCAATGAAAATCATAACCATAGGGTTAAAACCTCTCTCTCTCTCTCTCTCTCTCTCTCTCTCTCTCTCTCTCTCTCTCTCTCTCTCTCTCTCTCTCTCTCTCTCTCTCTATCTCTCTCTCTCTCTCTATCTCTCTCTCTCTCTCTCTCTCTCTCTCTCTCTCTCTCTCTCTCTCTCTCTCTCACTAACCCACTC